CAGATGGGGGGTGGAGTGGGGGGGAAGAGAGGGAGGATTTATTTAATTTTGGTCCATTTCCTCTTTTGTCTTCGGCTCTCCCCTCCGTAATGTTGCCCAGATGTTGTTCCCCTTTTGGCATGGCAACTTAACGACCAACCATGCTGGAACAATCGGACCCCCGAAGTCTGAAATTCAGATCGCATCTTGTTAGTGGCCGCTCAGATCAAAAGCATTTCAGAAATGGTGCGGAGTATTCGTTACGTGATTATTCCTTGGAAAGGACGCCAAGAAAGGTTGGGCGTGGAAATAAAGCCGTTTGGGTTTCTTGGCTACAGACATCGGGGGCTGTGGGTTAGCTTTTTAAAAAAGACGTGATCCACACAGAATGAAGTTAAGTGAGGAATATCTCCTTTTAAAACTCCTAGTTGATTGTGCACAAGTGATCTTCAGGTACTTTGGGTTCACAAATGTATCACGCCAGAAGTACCTTCTAGGTTTATTCTCCCATAGAAAGCGCAGAAGTACCTTCTAGGTTTATTCTCCCAGAGAAAGCGTTGTCGTTTAGTCGTGTCCGACTCTTCATGACCCCATGGACCAGAGCACACCAAGCCCTCCTGTCTTCCACTGCCTCCCGGAGTTGGGTCAAATTCATGTTGGTAGCTTTGATGACACTGTCCAACCATCTCATCCTCTGTCGTCCCCTTCTCCTCTTGCCTTCACACTTTCTCAACATCAGGGTCATTTCTAGGGAGTCTTCTCTTCTCATGAGATGGCCAAAATACTGGAGCCTCATCTTCAAGATCTGTCCTTCCAGTGAGCACTCAGGGTTGATTTCCTTTAGAAAGCAGTGCTACCTAAAAATGCCCACTTTTACCTATCTTTCCCTCATAGCACACTTTTACAAGGAATGATGTTGAAAGTAAGATGATCATTCCTTTTGTGTTAAGTGTTTATTAAAATGTAATAAAAATTAAAATACAGGGTATATATAAAGTAAGGTTGGGTTTGCATTTGTGTGATTTTACTCCTGAAGGTGGCCTTTTTTTAAGGCTTTTACTTGCAAGGCTAGTGGTCTCATGAAAGTGGTAATACACTAAATCTTTTTCATTCATTGGGTCCATCATCGTAGGAATTAAAAGCTGCCTTTCATCTCTTAGAATCTCTTTAACTGTAAAACCTGAAACCTACTCGATCACAATGACCTTGAGATGGATTCAGATCAGTAACTTCTCACCTTGTACGGGATCAGGTGTAAAACATAGGATGATCATTTCTCTAAGCTGGTAACCTTGTATTGCACTCTGTCAAGGTAGAGATAGGCATGTTTGATTAAACATTAGCCTTTCGTTTCTAGTTACCTACTAGAGCCTTGGAGAAGTTGATATTCTTGAGCAATGCCTCAGCAGGTGATTAAGCAGTCAGTAACTGTAGCATGTGACATTTTGTCATTCTTTCCAGTGCAATTTTCAGTTTTATGATTTTTCGGAGATTAAGACCAAGGGCACACACAGACATCATGCCGAAGTGGGATTTGGGCTTTTGGGGGAGGGAAGATTAAATGAATTTATCTGTCCAAAAAGTTATGCATTGCTCTGGTGATCTTCTTTCATCCTGGAATTAAAGTCTCATTTTACAAATATGTAAATTTAGAGTAAGAGATAAATGGTTTTGTGAACAACCTACATACATGGCTGGTGGTGAGGAAAAGTGGTACTCCAACCCTTCCTGATATTGCCATTGGTGAATAATCATTGTTTAAATCAATTTCACTTTTAAAAATAATTGGTTTTTATCCACCCTGCAGAGAAGTTGTCTTGCAGGACTGGATGTCTTGCTGTCAATGGAACTGTAAAAAATTTTGGGGATATGAGAGTTAATTTTGTAAAAAATGAGCCAGAATACTTGAGAATGAAGATTTTTGAAATTATTCCCCACTTCCCTAATGTATTCATTTGTGGGAAGATATTTGTTTGAAATAAGAGACAGCAGGAATTTAAAAATAAGGAAATAAGCAATTGCTTTGAGCTGGTAGTGAGACATAAGTTATAATTAAGGGGAAATATAATTTAAAAGATCTTTAGCAATAGGAAACATATTTAAGGTGTTGGTTTTCCAAGGGAGGTTGGACAGAGCTTTCTTAGGTAGATTTTGGATACCAGAGAAATCTATCTTGATGTAGGAGACGGACTCATGATACTGTCCTTTTTAAAAAAAATTGATATATATGTTGAATTTTCAATATTTTTATTTTGCTTTACAATTAATATCTTCCACAACTCTGTAAATGTTGTTGGTTTTTTAGTTAGGAATTTACATGTCCTGGTAACTTAAATTTAGCTTACTTTAATCTGTGAACTGAACCACACCTTCAGAAGTATGATTTGACATGACCTGAAAAATGATCTATTTTATTTAGACGTTTGCTTGCATTAAATATACTCTGCCTGCGGAAGATTTGGAAGGACTGGGTTTGAGTCTTTCACCTTGACATGCTAGGTTTCCATTACTGTATAGAGGTGCAAATGATGTCCTGTCTGGAATGTTGATATCAGTACAAGAGGGTTGTACACTATATATGTAATTTGGTTCTTTATGCAGAAATGTAGAGCTATGCGGTTCTAGTTTTAGATGCTCTCAGATGCCTTTCTTGCTCATTCAGTTACTATGGAACAAACTTGATTTCTTGAATAAGAGGAATTTCCCAGTGCTGAAAATTATTTGGACAAGCAACTCTGTTTGTGTGGTTAGGCTGTTAAAAAGATAAAGAAAACAGTGGCTTCATGGTATTGGATTTGGTATTTGCAGGTCTGGGAATCTTGCAAGCCCTGTCATCCATCAATTTACTGCATGACCTTGAACGAATTGCCTAATTTTTCTATTTCTTTTTTTTTCCTCCTGGGAAGGTCATGTATCCTCTCTCTTTGCAGTGCAAGATATTTGGTGTCTGTTGCTACATGTTTATTATTAGCACATATTCTTAAAAATTGTCCATGAGGTGTACATGTTTTTCAGGTGTGTTGTATCTTGAAATGAAGGATATTAAATAAAAGCAGTTTGAATTGCTGGAAGACTTACAGAAGTGTAATGACTGCTTAGCACACTTCTAGTTGATAAGGAGGATGAATCACAGTAGCCTAAGGTGGTAGGAAACATCACTGTTGGCTCAGAGTTTCATCCCCACCCTCTTTGCTGATGCCGTATTGCAAAACATCTCAACACAACATACTAGTTTTTAACCAATTCCCTGTCAGAACCCCTTTCTTTTTGCACTCTATGGCATACTCTCATGTTTTGCTGCATCCACCCTTTACATATTGTCCTATTATCTCCCTCATCTCTATCCTTGAGTGCTGGGCTTGTCAGCAACAGCTTACAAAGTTTTCATTCTCCCAGCAGATTTACACATCTCTTTACACAAAAAGTGGATTCTCAAAAATAAGTTTCCAGAAACAGTTCATAGTTGGCTCATGGATCTTTGGTTGTGATGCATGTCCGGGTTAAATCTTAGGGAGCTTCACAACGATTTTGCCGTGTGTTATTAAACTAAGTGTATGGACACTCTTTTACAGGTTTAAAAGACTGGATTATATTTCCTTCTTCTTTTAGTCACACAATTAACCATTTCCCATCTAAAGGAACCTCTTCGTATTCATACAACCCTTGCCACTCCTATGAGAAAAGACAGCAGTGTGGCCTAAAATGGCAATTAGTGTAAATACAGCAAGGTTTTCTGTGGAAACTCTAGAAAGCAAGTCAATTACAGTACCAGTGTGGTAGCAGTTTCTTTCAAAGGCACATA